CCGCCCTGGGGGGGGGGGGGGGGGGTGGGACAAGATGATCTTTAAGGTCCCTTCCAACCCACACCAGTCTGAGATTCTATGATATACAGTACTTGTTGTAGCTGTTTCCACAGACCCCAGGTTCCAACATACCCATGTTTCCTTCCTGACTTCAGCAGAAGCATCTACATAGATCAGGTGAGTGGCTGTCAGGTACAATGTCCCATTTGCTGCCTTCCTGTTGGCGTAGCGATCTAGTAACTTTACATTTTCAACCTGCAATGTAAAAAGAGGAGGGAAAAATTACAGAATCACAGGGTCACTGAAGCTGGAAAAGACCTTCAAGATCACCAAGTCCAATCTGTGACCCATCACCAGCTTGTCAACCAGACCAGAGCACTAAGTGCCACGACCATTCATTCCCTGAACACCTCCAGGGATAGTGACTCCACCATTTCCCTGCACAGCCCCTTTCAATGTGTGACCACCGTTTCCATCTTTATGTCCGACTTTGATCAATTATCTAAGCACCTGTTGAACCCCATTCATTTAACTTCTAGTACGCAACTCAGGAACCAAGACAGAAAAATACAAGAATTAAAGTATGCCCAGCACCACCGGCTCAGCTTTAGACTAGAAACTCCATTTATTTCTCCAGCAATTAAAGCCAAAAGGTTAAGCAAACAGCCAAGGCTCAGCACCAGTGCGAGTAACCGGATTACTGGATGTGCAGCCAAGAGGATCTCAGTTTGTTACTGTGCAAGGTTGCAGGAAAAACCACACAGAGAACTGTGAAGAAAAGCGTTGTCTGTGTTCAGTGAAATCCCTGGGAGGAACAGCCCTATCCAGCCTGACTTCCAGCTGCTCAGTCACCGCACAGAAGTATCAGTAGTTACTTCTTCTAAGTCACTTCCTGGCCTGTAAGAGCATTTCATAAACCACACTGAGCTAATTAATAAAAAACAGCTTTAAAAAACATCAGTACGGACACAATAAAACATTTTACAATGTTTGATGGATGTTTTTTGCTGGCCTATTTGGTCCTTACTGAACACAGACAGAATTTTTCTTCCATCATTAAGCAAATATAATAGGAAAAAAATAAGTGGATGGGCAATTAAAACAAATGTTTTAACAGTATATGATGGATTAGCCGTGGGTATTGGATGTGTGAGCTTCCTTTACACTTGCCTGAGGTAAGGCATGGAAAATGTCAGCAAAGAAACCTGGAGAGCAGAGGCCTGGCCTGAATGTCTTCTGAGCATGTCACGTTTTTCAGCAGATGTATCGATTACATATAATATTGCCCTTTTTCAGGGCATTAGAGACAAGCAGAACCAGCAAAGCACCTTAGGGGACAGGGCAAGGAGTATCCCCAAACTAACACCCTGGAGAATAAACCAAAATACAACATTTATGGCAGCACAATACCGAACCACATTCTGGGCTGCTGGGCACTCAATGCCTGGAGGAAACGCGATTTCTTTAGCTCCCAGAGCTCCTGTTTCACTTCAGTGGCAAAAGCACATTTTGATTCACTTATTGGGACGGGGGGGGGGAGGGGGGTAGGCTTTAATTTAAATGAAATTTCCAGGCAGAACACCTTTGGCTCTTTCTCCTATGGAAAATCCCCAACGCGGCGACAGAGCAAGAAACACCTTCACCCCACAGCCAGTGCTTTACACCGGCCCCGGCGCGGGCCGAGCACAGCTCCTCGGCCTCGAAACAAACAAAACCCTCCGAGGCTGCTCCG